AAATTTTTCAATTGCATATTTATATCATATATTCTAGAAAGGAAATACAAAGTTGGAGGAAAAGAATAAATAAAATATGTTTGTAGTACTAATTATACATAAGATAACTTTGTTAATAGTCAGAATATGTGTTACATTCAGTTCACATTTATGATGTTTTATTTAAGGAATGAGTTAAAAATCTCTTTGGGTCAAAAAATCCACTTTGCTTGGTTTTTAGCTATTAACTTTATTCTCTTCTGCCTTCGTCTGTTTGGGGATTTCAATCTGAGTTAACCAAATCTTAGCCTTCTCTCATTTTTTTTTACCTCTATTTACCACCTAACTCTACAGTCCTGTCTCAAAATATAGTAACAATTCCCAGGAAGTAAGAGAGAGCTAAGAGGCCATCAAATGACTGCTTCCCCTGCCTCTCAAGAGAAGACACTTTCCCTCTAAATTCTCTTTTAAAAGTTAGAAACACTTAAGAAAAGCAAATTCAATAGACTGAAATGGTTTGATCAAAGGAAGAGTTCTCAAATGCCTGAAGTATAAATGGGAACACGAAATTTGAAATACGGACCTTTATTCCACAAATAGATAAATGTTCAGTAATATCGTACATCTATTTTGTGTGTTGAAATAAACCTGGTGCAGATAAACATTATGGACTAAATGTATGTGCTTCTCTCTTCTTTTTTTCAAAGTCCTAATGAAATGGCAGGAGAGGAATGAAAAAGCTATACATCCATGTGGAGAAAAATGATCAGAAAGGAGACAGTAGTAGATGCAAGGTGGTAAATTTTAAGATGAAAAGTAGAGGAGGAGTGGTAAATGCCTTGGGAGGAAACTAAAACCCAGGTAGATGCAGGAAGGATGCCCCTGAGAACAAGGCTGATCCTCCATGAGAAGTGGAGACCAGTGCCATCTCAAAGGCACCAGGCCTGGCCTGGTGAGGAAAACTGGAGGAAGAGCTGAAAGAGACAGAGGGACTAGTGAGAGCCCCAATGCTAGCGAGTGCTCACTCCCAGTCCTCACGAACAGGTGACTGTGTGCCCTCTCCCTGTGCCCTGTCCCACCTCTCAGGGAACAGGAGGTTTGTTTCCTGTGAAACTGAACCAGAACAGCTGTGGATTCAGAGCCACCAGAACAGCAAAAGGCAAGAAGACAAGAGAATCTCTCTCTCTGTATGCCACTGGAAGATTCTTCTCTGAAGAAACTGGATAGCTCTAAAGTAAAAAATCCCTCAGAAAATGACAGTCGGGGTTCCCCTAAAGAAAAAAGCCAAATTGCTTTCCAATCCTGCTGTGATGAAGCCAACTCACAAAGCCTATGATCAGCTTTCTAGTGCCTCAGTCTTAAACATAAACGGCTCATGTTTAAGCATCAGATGCTCACTAGATCTTTAGAGCCTGCATCTAGAAAGACAAAAAACAAAACAGACAGGGGTTTGCAAACTAGAGCACATGACATGTTTCTCTACGGCCCGTGACCTAAGGATGGTTTTTACATCGCAACAAAGACAGTATGTGTCCCAAAAAGTCTAAAATATTTACTATCTGGTCCTTCAAAGTCTGCTCAACCCTATATGAGAAGATTAAGGAAGCATACCCTCAAATTTCTTAGGGAAATGACTTTACAACATAGAATTTGATAGCCAGCCAAACTATCAACTATCAGCTATGTGAAGACTAAAAATTTAAGTCCCTGCATCCCTTCTGAAGAAGCCACTGACGTTTGTACCTTACCAACGAGGGAGAAAATCAAGAGAGAGGAAGATGAGATTGAGGAAATAGTGAAAGCAACAGAAGAGGTGAAGGAAAGCCCCAGGACAATGGCTGAACAGCAGGTCTAGAGAGCATTCAATCCAGACCTAGCAAGAAGACGGAGGACTCGGGGTCGGGGGGACCCAATAAACTGTCTGATCATGTTCACTGTGGAAAGCTGGAAAACAGTACTGAGATGATACTACAGACATATAAAGAACTAACCAAAATTTTAAAAAATTACAGAAGCCAATTAATTCCAGGAAAAAACAATTGTTCAACCAAGGAAATGTAACCCTAATTTATTATGTGGCTTAGCAATAAACAATATTTATGTGCCATAATAATATGAACACAGTATATTTATTGAACCCCAATTATCATATAATTGCACTGAAAAGATCTGGGGAAGGAAACGTGGGTGGGTCCAGGAGAGAAAGAGACTGTAAGAAAACTAAAGCCTCATGTGGAGAAAGAAATTCTTTTTATACATCATATCCCTTTGTATCAATGATCCTTCACTTAAAATTCATAAACTTCTAGGTCAATAGCTCGTAAGATTTTTTTGATTACCCACTGTCAAAGTATTACCATATTCTGATTATATGAAAAGTCTTTTTTAAAAAAAATCAGGAGTAAATTATTTCTAAGCTATCAAATTGGAAAAAAAGAGGAACTTAGAGAAATGAAAAGTGAAATAAAACATTTAGAAACACTGTATCTTTCTGAATTTACACGGGCTTTTTTTCCCCAAAATATCATAATATCTTCTATGGTAGAGAACAAACCATATTTATTTCACATGTGGTACTCTGAAATCAAAGTTACCATTACAATGGTGTTCTATTTGTATACATATGTCATTGTATTTTATTAAAAAAACAGAGGAAAATAATAGAACACATCTACTGTGAATTAATATGCAGATTATCAACAGAAACATGTAACACTTCTTAATAAATGAATGCCTCCTATCTCTGGACTACCAAACACCACTTATCTAAATTGAAAGTTCCCAGTCCCCTCCTCATTCCCTCCCAATTTCCTACCCTTAGTTCTTTACGCTCATTCATTACTGTCAAATTTGCTAGAAATATTCTTAATTTGTATTCTTATTTTTAAAAAAGAAAATGAAAATAAAATTATTTTATAAAGTCTATCCATCGTTTTCCTTTCTCTTGAGGTGTTTTTTTCTTTCTTTCTTTTTTTTGGTGAGGAAGACTGGCCCTGAGCTAACATCTGTGCCAATCTTCCTCTATTTTATGTGGGAACGCCACCACAGCATGGCCTAGGTTCATGCCCAGGATTCGAACCTCCAAACCCTGGGCCACTGAAGCGGAGCATGTGAACTTAACCACTACTCCATTGGGCCGGCTCCTCTCCTGAGTTTTGATAAATATTTTTCGTTTAATTTTCCAATGTTTTGTTTTGCAGGTTTTATTTTCAACAACAAAATTCATTTTGACAGATGGTGTAACGTAAAAGAAAGCTTAATTTTCCCCAAAGTTTCTATTTTTAAAGACTAATTTTCCACACAATCCCTCCTCTGTCATATTAAATTCTCATATACAATAGGAAGACTATTTCTCTGGCTATTACTTTACTCATCTGTCTATTCTTGTGCCAGTATTTCACACTTAATTATTGTTTTTACAATATGCTTCCCATCACAATTTTTTTTGCAGCAGAGGTCTGTTTTATTACTCTTATCAGAATTCTTTGGTATTTTAGTATGCTCTCAAGAAAAAATTCCCATTTGGATTTTATTTTGACTGGTATTACACTAAGATCTTATTATTTTTGTGTACTTTCAAGAGAATTCATATTTGAATTTGGACTCTTACTGCATTAAAACTATGAAATAATCTATAAATAATCAAGATGGGCATTTTTAGCATATTGACAAGAACGTTCTATGTCCTTTTAATTGTGCAAAACTTCTTTTACCTATCTTAATAAGTTTAATCACACACATCACTGAGATAATTCCTAACTACTTAATATTTGCTGCTGCAGCTGTGAACAGGATCTCATGATCTAATTGGTTTACAGCATTATAAGAAAATGGTATCAGTCTTGGATCAAGCCCTTTTATCAAACTTTTATTGATTCTAGTTGTCAACCAACTGCATTTCTTTGAGTTTACTTAACAAGCTTGAGTTATAATATTATGTACAAACTTAACAAGCTTGTACGTAATAATTTAACCCGTTTCCTAAAGTTTATTTGTTTCTTGTCTTTTTGTACTGGCTATAACTTCTAAAATAATATTAAACATAGTGGTGTAAGGCATTTCATTGTATGCCTATTCTTAATAGGACTAGTTCCTGGATTTCACCTCTATGAAAAATGCTGGCTGTTTATCTGAAAGAAAAAGATTTGTTTTTAAAAGACTCTTGTTATAGTTTTAAGTATTCTTTGAACCAGTAATATTTGAATTCTACCAAATGTCTATTAGGTTTCAAAAAATATTTTTTTTCCAATTCAATCTACTGACTTCGTACTATATATGTAAACTGATTTATCCTCATCTACCTCAAAAAACCCTCTTTGGCTGTGGTGGATTAATTATTAACACCCTCATGAATTCTATTAAGTAGAATTAAGAATTTCAGGAGCAGGGTGGGGGGTTATGTTTTTATAAGTGAAAGAGTGAGAATGGTAGTTTATTTATTGTGCTCTTGGTTAGGTTTTGGTAAGCATGGGCAGTGTTTCTGCCATGGAATGAACTGACAGTTTTCCCTATTTCTCTGTGTCGTGAGAACTATCTGAACATTATCCTCTGAACTTATAAAAGTATTCAGCAATAAATATATTCAAATTAGGAACTTTTGGGGGGTGAGGGTCAGGTAGGGTAATGCTTTGATAACTTCCTCAATTTCTTATTCAGGTGTTGAGACATTCACATTTGCTGTTTGTAAATTTTTATCATTTGCTGCTCGAAATATGCTGTGATAAATATTCTAGGCAGAATTCTAGAACACTAGAATAGAAGAAAGTAAATGGGTTGTGAGTGAATGCCTATGAAGCTTTTCTGAGAGCTCTAGTGCATGAATTCTGCAATCTCTCTTCTCAATACTCCGATGGCATTTCTGCTTACCTTTGAGTTCCTGGTTATGCTCTAAGCAGGTCAAATTTGCACAGAAACAACTTCATGTAATTCTGTAATTCAAACTATGTTTTTGAGTTACATAGACTCCCTCGAAATTTTTATCAATAATTCTGCAACATAAAATACACACACTAATAACTCACTTTATTTACTTCAGCAATTTCTCGCCTCTCTTCACTAGCAAAACGAGGTGGGCCAGCCCGATCGTCATTCTTTGAGCCATCTTCTTCCATGTATGGAATAAGTTGCTGGGAGTGACAAACAAAAGTTAAAAGTAAAAAATATGATACAAAATTTCCAATTACACTGGTATAGATAATGCATCTGATTCTGGTCAATTTTTATACTTTTCTTTTAATAGTACAAAAATAAATTATAATTCAGTTGATGGCCCAAACTAACAACTTTAGAAGTATATCATTTCAGTGCATCCTACACAGTGGCTTTTCAGGTATCTTTTGCAAAATAGCTCTTATAACATTAATTGTCACATACAATTAAGTAATATCCTACTCATTCAATCAGCAAATATTTAATTACCAGATGCTGGGTGAGACATTGCAAAAATAATGACAAGTAAGGTATGATTCCTGGCCCCCCAAAATTTATAGATCCTTGAGATAGAACAGGCTTTCCTTTATCTACACTAGAAAGAAGGGCACCTTAGGGATGTGCATTATATAAATGCCATTTACTTGCTATCTAGAACCTCAGTGACTATGCAAATTTCTAGATGTCAAATTCTTTTAGATGGGAGAAAGTTTTTTTTTTTTTTTTTTTGAGGAAGATTAGCCCTGAGCTAACTACTGCCAATCCTCCTCTTTGTTTTTTCTGAGGAAGGCTGGCCCTGAGCTAACATCCGAGCCCATCTTCCTCTACTTTATATGTGGGATGCCTACCACAGCATGGCATGCCATGTGGTGCCAGGTCCGCACCCAGGATCCGAACCAGCGAACCCCGCGCCACCGAGAAGCAGAATGTGCAAACTTAACTGCTGCGCCACCGAGCCGACCCCAAGAAAGTTTTTTTGTATGAGAAAAAAATTTATATAACAATGAAACTTCTAGTAGAATTATAATTAAGTATGTATGGTTTGTGATGCAGTTTATTTGATGAAGCCCCTCATGGATGGGACAGAGACTTCAGGAATCATCTGGTCTCTACCATCTTGTGTGACCAATGCAGGAACAGCCTAGAGGTAAATAACCGGTACAACCAGGAATCATCTGGTCAAACTTCTTCAAATTCTTGGGACAAATATGAGCTTACCCACACCCACAGCCACTCCTTCCTCTGTTCCTCTCTCCTGGGGCAGAGCTGTCCTCCCTCCTGAAGACACTGAGTCTCCCTTCTTATGCTCTAATTCCTCTGCCCTCCCCCCCTCATTATTTAGCCCCCTCCCCTCAACTTCTCCCTATTGTTTTCTTCCTTTATCATCTAAACATGTCTGGTCTCTCTTATTTGGAGGAAAAAGCTCAAAAACCCTTGACTCCATCTACTGCTTTCCTCTCTTGCTTTTTTTTTCCTTCTCCCCAAAGCCCCCCAGTACATAGTTGTATATTCTAGTTGTAGGTCCTTCTGAATGTGCTGTGTAAGACGCCGCCTCAGCATGACTTAATGAGCAGTGCCATGTCCACGCCCAGGACCCAAACCGGTGAAACCCTGGGCCGCCGAAACAGAGTGCATGAACTTAACCAATGGGCCACTGGGCCACCCCAGACTCTCTTGCTTTTTATCTAAGCTTCTTGAAAGACAGATATCCACTTGCTGGCTCCAGTTCCTTATTTCCTGTTTAATTTTCAACCCACTGTGATCTGAGTTCTTGTTGCTACCATTTCACTGAAGCTCTACTCAAATATACCAACAATTTTCCTCCAGCAAAATCTACTGGACAGTTTTCACTCCTTATTTTCCTTGACTTCTGTGCAGCGTCTGACAATGGCAATCACATTTCTGATCTTTCTCCCTCATCTTTCACCACTTCTTTTCAGGCTGTTTTGAAGTTTACTTTTTCTTTCTTCATTACTTTATGCTGATCACTCAAAAAGGAAGCAGTGATCATGTGAAATTGTTCTTATTATGTAGCGAGAGACCATCTAAACCTTCCCAGCTACTTTTGGTGACAGAGATATAACCTGTCAACAGGAAATAGTCACCTATAAAAATATCATATATCTAATTAACTAAGATATATCTATGATCGCAGACTAAATTTAAAGAACATATTTTAAAACTAGAGTGATTCCACTAAACTAATCTAAATTAATAATGATGAAAACATAACCTTTTATTCATAAAGAACTTAAATGAACATTTTAAAACTATTTTATAATACGATTAAAACCTCTACTAAAAAAAAAAAATCATGCACTGACAGCAATGATAAGAATTGCCACAGGCAACCCTCTCCTCCCAGTGAAAAAAATTCACTATAGACCTGGATGTTAAAGTCTACAAAAGATTATTAACATGAAAAGATGGTACAATTTAGTTCTATGCATATATATCATATTTTCATCTTTTCTAGTCAAAAGTCAAACCAATATACAGTCATGTGTCGCTTAACACTGGGGATATGTTCTAAGAAATGCATAATTGGGCAATTTCATCATTGTGCAATCATCATAGAGTGCACTTAGACAAACTCAGATGGTATAGCCTACTACACACCTAGGGTATATGGAACTAACCTAGTGGGAGCACCGTTGTATATACAGTCCATGGTTGACCAAAATGTCATCATGCGGCGCATGACTGTAATTCAAAATCTGGAAATATTGTGAAAATAGGAGAAAGAAAGGAAAAAATTACAAATGTCTTGAAACTCTCTTACATCCATCCTCCTCTACCACTAAAACTTGCCTCTACTGGAATGGGATCCATTCCTCCGCAGTTTTCGTTGCATTTGTCGTAGACCAATCTCAGCTTCCTGAAGAGAATAGAAAGCTGGCGAAGATGATCCTGTAGCTTTGCTAACCGATCTTGATATGTTCCAGTGTGGTAAGTGACACCATTTGGCAGCTTATCAGGCAAAACAAAACAATAAAAATGTAACGAAAATCAAGATTTCCTAGAAGTAAATCTAGAAAACAGAAACAATTTTTAAGAACTGTGTAAAAGCAAACTGTTCCTCACAATTAATCAAGTGTGATTTTAAGAATTTAAAAGTAATACATGCTCATTTATTAGCTCCCTGGCACACTGTTTCAGTGCTGTAAAACAGCCTTAGAAAAACTTTATCATAAGCCTCTCTGGCCAGTTGAAATTTATTTCCTCTCTAATTTTTGAAATATATTATAACTTTTAAAAGAATGCACAATTTTATTACTTACAGTTATATAAAGGCAGCAAGCCGCTGAACTCAACCAGGAAGTTAAAAACAAAATACAATTTAAAGAAGAAGAAGAAGAAAGGGAAAAAGTGAAGATCAAGACTTTTCAGCAGAAGAAAAGGAATAGTATGCTGCTGCTGTTGCAAAAATAGTCTCAAAATACCTTAACTACAATAAGATAATGAGGATACTCAAGGCAAGCATTAAAACATAAAGCTGTCACCAAGGCTTACTTTAAAAAGAAATCAATAGCAGGAGATACAGGTGCAAATCAATCTGTACTTGAACATCATTAATAAGTTATTACAAGGAGCCGCCACAATCCTAACTCTGTCTTGGATGCTTATATAATTTTAATTCAGGAATTTTATCAAAAGAAGCCACAAGTATATACTGAAATGACGATAAAATCACACATAAACAGAAACTGATGATTACTTATTTAGAACTTATAACTAAATGCACCTTTTGTGCATTGCTGAAGTTTATGAACAAAATCTTCCTTTCTCTGTACATCTTTACAGTATTTTATCCCCACAATTTGATCTGTGAAATCATCCTAATATTAGAATTAACAATATTTGTACCATGGTTTTTTTTGGTGAGGAAGATTGGCCCTGAGCTAACATCTGATGCCAAGCTTCCTCTTTTTGCTTAAGGAAGACTGTCCCTAAGCAAATATCTGTGCCAATCTTCCTCTACTTTCTATGTGGGACGCCGATACAGCATGGCTTGATGAGTAGTGTGAATGCACATGCCCAGGATCCGAACCTGTGAACCCTGGGCCGCTGAAGTGGAGCATGCAAACTTAACCATTATGCCACTGGGCTGGCCCCTGTACCATGTTTTTTAGTATATGAGGTGCTTTCATTATAAGCGTTCACCCATATACTTATCTCGGGGATTAAACTGACTAAAAACCAAGACACTAACTACTAGTAATAGCTAGAAGATAGTCTTTCTAAACCTCAGTTCACTCTTTTTTTCCCCTAAACAGATGAGGTAGGAAAGCAAAAAAGAAAAGTGTATGATACAATGTTTGGAGAGAAAAGAAAACAGAACACACTATTACCACGAGTAGGTAAAACCACAAACAAGAAAAAAAGACAGGAAAGGCCTCTAAACAGTTGATAACAAATGTAACTAGGAGATAGGCTTGAATAATTTATTTTCTTCTTTTCTCTCATTTCCAAAATTCCTGTAATTTATGGTTTATAAGTCAAAGAGATGGATCTTCTGAAATTATTTGAAATGAGTTATTATTAGGATTTTCAGGAATTCTAAAGCATTAAAACACACTTTAGGATGATACCTCAAAGAAATGTGATAAAATACCAAAGGCTGAATTAGTGAAAACAGTTTAAAGGAGAAAGGCGTTGAGAGTTTACACCCCAATACAATGTGGGATGATTTCTCATGAACTTTCACAAACACTACAAATCAGGGAAAACTTTCCTGTTTGGATGATAATATGGAGTATAATGACTACAACTTGCACAGAGAGGCTCTCTGTACCTTTATTATGGCATTTACTGGATTTAATACTTTATCCCTATTTTCTACTTAGTAAAGACTGGAAGTTATTCATATTTATATCCCTTTATTTAGTATAGTGCACACACACAGACAGGTTTCAAAGGACAGTCTGAATTATTTTATTTCAGTGAGTTATTTTATCCATAAATGTATACCTAAAATTCACTAAGAAGTGTGTGTCAAGTAAAAGAACTCTGATAAATCCTTTCATAAAGGAAAACAAAATCCTTTTGAAATGCAAAGAATCACTCTCCTCAAATTCACCCTCTTTGTAAGTTTGGGTATTAGTTTTCATAAATAGCACCAGCTTCTCAAAAGAGGGAACAATTAATTCATCAAAAAATTGACTGCACTCTCTTCATGTGTCAGGCACTGTTCTAGTAGCTGGGATAAAGCAGTGGACACGAGGGAGACAAGGTTCCCTATACCTTGTAATAGCACCTAAGATCTCTTCGTATCCACCGTAGTGTAGGTGTTTAGCTGAAAAGCTCATCAATAACCATCTCATTCCTGAATACTGGTGAAGATCTGTAAATACATGACCATACCCTTAGACACTAAAAAAGTATTTAACTAAATTCAACATCTATTCTTAAATATAAAACTCTTAAGCAAAATTACGCAACATGATAAAATACATTTATCTCACTTAATAGGTCAGCACGATGATTAATGTGGAAACATCAAAGCATCCTCACTAAAGTCTGGAACAGAACAGGCTGTCTACAAAGACCACTAATACTACTAGTGAACACTATTCTGGAGGCACTGGCCAATGCAATTAGAGAGGAAAAGAAGAGTTGAAATATTAAAAAGTGGTATAATCATCACTTTTTACAGATGATATAATAAAGTGCTACTATCAATAAAAGAAGAAAGAGATGGATACAAAATTAATACAGAGAAAACAACAGCTTTGCTTTCATACTTAAAAACAAACAAAAGATAACAAGAAAGGAAAAAGACCCCATTTACAATAGCAACAATACAGATAAAATATCCAGAAATAAAACTTAAAAAATTTCAAGATAACGATGAAAATTTAAAATATTTCATAGCGACACAAAAAAGGATATTCCATGTTCTTGGTTAGCAAGACTCAACATCATACTGATGTAAAGTTTCTCTAGGTTAAATCAATCTAATAAAAATGCTAACAGGTTTTTCTCAGAACTAATCAAGCTGATTCTAAACTACATGTGGAAAAATCAGCAGAATAGCTAGGACCATTTTCGAAAGCAAGTGTGAACATATGATAAAGCCTCAATAAATATAAGAATGTTTGGCATTACTACATAAAAGTCAGGGAGCCAAGTGGAATACAGCATCCAGAAATAGATTCATTTGTATAAAGTAGCATCCAAAATCAATGGAGGAGGACAAGTGAATTATTCAATCAAACTTTTGGAAAAACTAAGGCTAGTGCCATACCTCACACTTTACACTAGGATAAATTCCATATGGATCAAAATTTTAAAGATAAAAATTGAAACAAAACACAGAATTATTCTTGATTTTGGAGTGGGCAAGGCCTTCCCAACTAGACATAGAACCTAAAAAGCCCTAAAAGACTAAAAAAATTCAACTATGTACCTTAAAAAATATATATGTATGGCAAAACTTTCATAAGCAGAGCCAAAGGTATAGAACAGACTGGGAACAAGATACTTGTAAGTTATATGTAAATAGCCAAGTGTTATAAATTGGGGTAGAGGGTAAAAAAGACCAAAAAAAAAAACCCCAAAAGAAGATAGAAAAATGGGCGAATGATATGAACAAGCAGCAGAAAAGGAAATATAAGTGATTCATAAATACATGAACAGATGCTCAAACTCATTCAAACTAGGAGAAATGTAAAGTAGATTTTCACCTATCAAATGATCAAAGATCCAAAAATATAACTTACTGTGTTAGTCAGAGCCTTTTTGTTGGTCCCTGTCAAGGCATGGTAGCATAAGCTGGTACAGCCCCATGGAGGGGCAATTCATCAAAATTTATCTAATTAGAGAAGCACAAAGCCATTCCTAAGAATTTATCCTACAAGTAGACTTGTGTATTTATGTAGGAGGTTATTCACTGCAGCATAATAGTTAGAAATTAAAAGCAACCCAAATACCCTTCACTAGAGAACTGGTTAAATAAATTACAGTATTTTCACGCAGTGGATTACTATACACCTTAAAAAGGAAAGGAAGTATTTCTGTACAGATATGAATAAACTCCAAAATATACCAAATGAAAAAAGCAAGGTACAAAATGTTGTATATAATGTACTATTATCCGTGCAAACAGAGGGCAAATGAAGAATATACATACACATTTCCTTAAAAATGCATAGAATATCTGAGACGATACACAAGAATAGTAAGAAAAATCACTAACAACCATTGCCTGTGGAGGGGGGCAGACAGCTAGCAGACAGGGATGGGAGGGAGAAAGTTCACTGCAATGTCCTTTTTTTATTTCTGAGTTCTGAATGTATTATATATTCAAAAAAAAATTTTTTAAAGATTTAAAGGATAACAGAATCAAAGTGATACTTTCTTACAGGGAATCTTAACCTAGGATCTAATGATCCTTGGGGAGACTTCCATTAACTCCCTGACATTTTATTCAAAAAGTATAATATGTGTATTTTTCCAGAAGAAGTTTTTATCAGATTCTCAAGAGGCTAATGGATACCTAATGAATAAAGAATCACTTCTCTAAAACAAATGCTTAGAAGTAATCTCAGCTGTTTGTATTTACAGCACTTCACCCTTCTGAATTAATAATACAGAACATAATTTTAAAATTATGAAAAAAATGTATTAATAAATAACTAGGTTATATGTAGTCTGTGTGTACCACTTCTCCAGTTTTTTGGAAATGAAGGAGCACATTGTTGCTTCTTTTTCAGCCAATTATGATATATGCCCCAAGAGTCTTAGATGAGTTAAACCACAGAATTAACAATATAAGAGGCACAAAGAAAGAACTATCATAGTCTCTTACAAATTGGTTTTGAATATATGTCCACGTGTAATCTAGTTATCAATAATACTTTTTTGAAAGAGTTTAGTTCTTTCAGTGTAGGTCATGGATGTGGACTGTATCTCTGTTAATAGTACAAATTGTTTGACAGCAAGTTAGTATCACAAAGAGGTCAGTAGGAAGAGCTACCAGTCATGTGTGATGCAGGGTAAATTCTTCTCTCTTTAAGCCTGTTTCCTTAACTGTAAAATAGGAATAAAAATAGTTTTTAGAACTGTTCTTAAAACAGTGTACCTGACCAAGGAAAGTACTGGATAAACGTTGGTTATTAGCTCTACTAGTCCTAATTCAGTACTTTGCACACAGCATATATTTTATTTCTTAAAAATAAAGAAATATTTGCTAAATTCTGAGACCACCTAATCCATATTTTAATCATTTTAGATATTAATCTATTAATTTTTAAAATAACTGCCAAAGATTTCATATCCTCTCTTGACTCCCTTTCTATTGTATTTCACAATACATGGCTTATTAATATGATCTTAAAATATCTCTGTTCAACTGAAATACTTTTATAATCAGGAGGAAAACATTTCAACCAATTAAAAAAAAAAGCAATAAAACACTCTTCAGTGCACCCATTGAAATAAGAGTTGTAAGAGTCTGAAGATCTGGTTTCAAATTTACCCTACCACTTAGCTTTGGACAAGTCACTTCACCTCTCTGAACCACAGAATCCTTACCCGTAAAACAAGAATGATATCCACATCACCTAGCAGTAAGATAAACAAGCATTAAAAATGGGTTAGCAAAATGATGCTGGGACAACTGGGCATCCAAATGCAAAAAAGATACACTTGGATCCAAACCTATCATATAAAAAATTAACTCAATATGGATCATAGACCTAAATGTAAAATCTAAAATTATGAAACTTCCAGAAGAAAACATGGGAGAAAAATCTTCATCACCTGGGGTTAGACAAAGATTTCTTAGGTTTGACACCACAAGCAAAATCTGCAAAAGAACAAATTGATAAATTGGATTCCATCAAAATTTAAAATGGCTATTTTTCAAAAGGCAATGTGAAGAGAATGAAAAGACAAGGCAGAGACTGGGAGAAAGTATTTGCAAAGCAAAAATGACACACAATAACAAGTGTTGGCAAGGATAAGGGGTAACTAGAACACCCAAACGCTGCTCATGGGAATGTAAAATGGTTGCAGCCACTTTGGAAAAAGTTTCTTAAAATGGTAAACACACATTTACCATATGATCCAGCAATTCCACTCTTCGGCATCCATCTACTCAAGAGAAATGAAACACACGTTCACACAAACATTTGTGGGCGACCATTCATAGCAGTATTATTTATAATGGCTCCAAAGTGGAAACAACCCAAATGTCCATCAACAGATGAAGGGATACACAAATTGTGACATGTTCATACAATGGAACAGTATTCAGCAATCAAAAGGAATGAACTATAGATACACGGCTGAGTGAAAGGAGCCCGACCTATAAAAGGGTATAGTTCCATTTGTATGAAACTCTAGAAAAGGCAAACTAATTTACCGTGCCGCAAAGTAAATCAGAGGATGCCGCGAAAGGAAGGCCGGAAGCAAAGATTTCAAAGGGGCATGAGTAAAGTTTCTGGGGTGATGGATGATGGATTCACAAGTCTATACGTATGTCAAAACTAAAAAGTGTATTTTATTGTATACCAATTATACCACAATAAAGCTATTTAACAAAAATGGTTAGCAGAATCTGAATTCTTCACATCCTTGGACCCTCAGAAAGGATTTTGCTGGAAAAAGATGAGATTAACCCTAAACCGGGTAGTAGAGTGAGGCCCACTTTTACCTTGAAAGGTACAAGAGTTTGCCTAGTAACTTGAGAACCAGGTGGAATCTACAAAATACGGATTCAATCTCTCCCAGACATCAGGTCTGGAAAACATCACCTTTACACCGCAGACTCTTGGGAACGGACACATCATTGGGGAACACTTTTGAATGTAAACAGGAGCGACTCTATCCTCGAGGTTTGCCCAGGGCAGCCCCGTGGACACCCAGGGGCCCCACGGAACGACTAAACCAGCGCCCTTTGCCGTCGCAGAAGCATCCCGCGTCCACCAGGCACGCCCAGGAGGGGCGGCCGCCCTCCTTCCCACCTGCATGTTCCTCAGGAGCTGGAAGATCTCCATGGTGCGGTACACGATGTCCTGGACCGTCTCCTGCCCGATCCGGCAGAGCGAGGCTGTGTTGACTTCGCGGGCGGCCTGCTGAGCCTGGGGCCCGGCGAAGGGCCCAGGCGCCATCCCCGACGCCGCCAACGGAGGGGTGGACATGGCTCGGCTGCCGCCTCCAGCCGGCAGAGCCGGAGAGCAGGCGTCAGGGGGTCCGCCCGACGTTAGCCTGCTGCCGGCCTCGGCGTGGGCAGGAGCTGGGAAGACTCCAGCATCCGGATTTCAAAACAGCGGCCGGGACTTCCGCCCACCGTGACGTAACTCGTCATCATAACGTCACGGGGACTGCCCACTCGGCAGCCTCCTGGGAACCTGCCTCAACGTAAAGCCGGCAGGGATTGGGCCGGGCGCCTGGGCGGGGCGGGACGAATGGGTTGAGTAGCCAATCACCGGCTGCACCGGCTGCACCGGCTGCCAGAGGGGCGGTGCGCATGGTGGGAGGCGGGTGGACTTTCCCAGAGTTCGTTTCCCAGAGTCTCAGCCAGTCGTTGGGATTCCTGATGGAACGAACGCTTGTTTTGTGTTAGTTTCCTTGCTGAGCATTTTCTCATATCAAGCCTATGATGTCTGTAGTATTATTGCCGTTTTACAGCTAGGAGGCACGTTCAGAGGGCTAATTTGACTTGGTTACTCACATACAGCTTGCAACTGGTAATCTGCAATTTGATTTTAGAAAACGAAATTCTTGATCTTGCATGCTTCATTGTGACCTGATACCGACTCCCCAATTGCTGTGGGTCCCTGCTCAGTCCCATTACCCCTAAGTATAAAATTGACACCACACACCCCTTTCTGACTTTGGCACTTACTACTGTCTGTGTTCTATATAATTTTCGGTTTGTTTACTTTCTGACTTCCCCTCACTTTATGTGTACATATACACTAGAATGCAAACTCCGTAAAAACAGAGATTGTGTCTTATTCACTTACTATATTATCAATGCTTAGCGACTGTCACATAGAAGGTGCTCGATAAGTACATGTTGACTGATATAAATGTAAGAAAAATTAAAGCCATTCTCCCACCTACCTCTTACTGCCCGTTTTCAAGCGGAGGGAAAAAGTCAAGAATGTGAAAATGGTCATAGGCACAAAATTATTGCATTTTAAAAAGTATCTGAACACTCTATTAGTAAGGACTTTACAGGAAATGGTTACTAAAAACGACCTAGGAACCACTGTGTAGATTTTAAAGATAGTGATTTACAGCTCCTTAGTGGGCAATTACCATTTGACAAATATTTACTGAGCACCTACTATGTGCTGGGTGCTAGGAATGGAGATAGAGTAGTGCACAGGTCAGGCAAAACCCTACTGTCCTGGGGCAGACAGAACACTAATTACTGTGGTGAGTGTCTGGAAGCAAAAGTTCAAGGTCCTAATATCAAGGTGCTAACAATTTAGGAGATCAGGGACAACCTGAAGGGGATAAATTGGGCCCTAAGGGTGAATGGGGGAGGGTGCTGAAGATTGGAGCCTTTTCTGTGTTAGAGAAACAGTACAATGGGTAACTTTGAATAAATATTTAGGGAGTAGATTTTAGGGGACTTGATATTGACTGGATTGGGAGCTTGAAGGAGAGGAATGAATTAAGGATGGCACCTATTTCTGCCTTGAACAAATAGTGATGTTTCTGCCACATACCGAGATAGGGTGCATTGAAGAAAAAGACGTGTTCCAGTAAAGTTATGACTTGTATTGTTTCCTATTGCTGCTCTAACAAATTACCATAAACTTAGTGACTTAAAACAACACAAGTTTGTTGTCTTACAGTTCTGTAGGTCAGAAGTCTGAACTCAGTCTCACTGGCTGAAATCAAGGTGTCGGCAGGGCTGTGTTTTTTTCTGGAGGGTGTCAGAAGGAATCTGTTTCCTTGTCTTTTCCAGCTTCTAGAGGCTGCCCGCATTCCTTGTCTTTTGGTCCCTTCTTCCATCCTCAAAGCCAGCACTGGCCAGTCAAATCTATTTCATGAAGCCATCTGTCTGGTTCTGAGTCGCCTGCCTCCCTCTTCCCCATTTAAGAACCCTTTTGATTACATTGGACCCACCTAGATAATCCAGGATATCTCTTTATTTCAAGGTCTGCTAGTTTGCTATTTTATTTCCCCCTTGCCACACAGGATGACATACTCACAGATTGCAGGGATTATGACATCAATATCTTGCAGGGGGTCATATTGTCTCTACCACGTGTCTGTAGCCCAAACCGTCCCTGAACTTCAAACTCACGTACCTAATAGTCTGAAATCTTGGCTTGGATGGCCAACTGTCATCTAAAACTCACATGTCCAAAACCAAACTCCTGATCCCCCTAATCTTCTACTATGATTTTTCCCATCCCAGTAACTGGCACCACCATGTGCTCAATTGCCTGTCTGACTTCTCTCATTCCCACCCCACTTCCAAGCCATCAGAAAATACAGTGATCCCTTTCAACTATATCCTATATGTGACTCCTTCTCATTACTTCACCTCTTCCACTCTAGTCCAAGCTGTCTTCTTCTCTATTCAGATTGTTGAATGACAATCAAAAATGCTTCCTAAGTGGACTTCTTGGCTTCTGTTCTCACCCCATTCGGTCCACTCTTATTATAATACTCACTAGGAGACTTTTAAAAGTATAAGCCAGGTTGTGTTCCTCCTCTGCCACAGTGTCTTCCCATCATGCTTAGAATTAAGTCCAAAGCTTCATGACCCGTAGAGCTCCACATGCGCTGGCCTCTGGCCTCTCCTGCCGTCTCAGCTCCTACTGCTCTCCCCTCACTGCAGCCTCACGCTGCCCTCTTTGCGTTCCTCATACATTCTAAACTCCTCTCACTTAAGGGTCATTCCTTTAGGCCTAGGAAGGTCTTCCTTCAGATATTTCTCTAGGTCTCTGCTTAGAGTGGTCTTCCCCGACTACCTTACTTAAAATAGCCTGCATTAATTTTCTATTGCCACTGTAACAGATTACCAGCCCTCTGCACAGCAAAATAAGCAATCAGCAAAATGAAGAGGCAACCTACGGAATGGGAGAAAATATTTGCAAACCATATATCAGATAAGGAGTTAATAGCAAAAAGGAACTCATACAGCTCAATAGCAAAGAGATGAATAATGCATTAAAAAATGGGCAGAGGATCTGAATACATTTTTTCTGAAGAAGACATGCAGATGATCAACAGGTACATGAAAAGATGCTCAATGTCACTAATCATCAGGGAAATGCAAATCAAAAGCACAATGAGATAACATGTTGTAACTGTTAGAATGGCTATTATCAAAAAGACAAGAGAGAAGTGTTAGCAAGGATGTAGAGAAACGGGAACACTTGTGCACTGTTGGTGGGAATATAAAACAGTGCAGTTGCCATGGAAAAGAGTATGGGGGTTCCTCAAAAGATTAAAAATAGAGCTACCATATTATCCAGCAATCCCACTTCTGAGTGTACACCCAAAAGAGTTGAAATCAAGATTTCAAAAATATGTGTGCACTCCCATGTTCATTCCAGCATTATTCACAATAGCCAAGACATGAAAACAACCTCAATATCTATCAACAGATGAATGGAGATAGATATATATATATATATGCCACATTTTATTTTATATATGTATAAAATTTATACAAAATTTCAGCCTTTAAGAATAAGGAAATCCTACTATTTGTGACAACACAGATGGGCCTGGAAGACAGTATGCTAAGTGGAGTAAGTCAGCCACAGAAGGTCAAATGCTGCATGGTTCCTCTTATATGAGGCATCTAAAATAGTCAAATATATAGAAGTAGACAATCGAATGTTGGTTACCACGGGATGGGGGGAGGGGAATATGGGGAGTTATTGCTCAAAGGGTAAAAGTTACAATTATACAAGATAAGTAAGTTCCAGAGATCTGCTGTACAACATAATGCCTATCGTTAACAATAAGGTATCGTATACTTGATCTCATGTTGTGTCCTTACCACACACAAACAAAAAACCCCAAGGGGACACGAGGAAACTTTTGGAGGTGATGGATATGTTTATTACCTTGGTTGTGGTGATGGTAAAATGAGTGTATAGTTATGTCCAAACTCAACAAATTGTATACTTTTATCATGTGCAGTTTTTTGTACAGCAATTATACTTCCTTCTTCCAGCTAGCTGGGATGCAGATATCAAGGCTCCAGCTCATAAAAGCTCTTATTTGGGATTTTCTGTCACGTGCAGCTGAATCTAATACTAACTGCTGAGGTGGCAACTTTGGAATTTGCCCTGAGCTCCATGTGGTTCTTCCCGATACCAAAATAGGTTTCCTAACACAGTGATTCACCGCCTCTGCTTCAAATGACCCACAAAGCAAACTGGCGTCCGTCTTGACCTGGTCCACTATCTCTGGGTCTTGTGCAGTTGCAGGATTGGAGTTACCTTTGTTTGTGTTGTCGTGGAAAAAGCTGGCCTTTGCATTTTCTACCACCTGGGAGACTTGTGAACAATTCTGGCATGGTTTTGTGGGATCAGGACACTGGTGGTTGAATCAAAGGTTGAAACAGGTCACAATTGTTAGTCTGAACCTTACAATCAATATTCGAGAATACGCTGAGTGGAAAGCAGTGGGCTTTGGGGGTAAGAAAGGGAGAAATATAAATTACAGAAAGATGTAATGGGACCTAATAATGGAAGGGCGACTCCCCACATCAGCACAACGGGTAACAGACTTGCTTTGCCTTTAAATAGTTCGGCGGTTCTGCACTGGCTTATAACCCAGGTGTTTCACTCTAAGACTCGTACACTTTTTCATTATATTACAAATGACGTGGAAAAGCTTCAAAATAATCTAGGTCCATTTGGAACTATCACCGCATAGGACGTGACAAAAGAAAGGGATGTGAATAAACTCTCACTGCCATGACCTTGGCCTTCCAGTAGTTGTGCTGAAATGTCTTGGTTTATGCACAATATATTCACGACTAATAGCCTATATTTTTCAATTCAGCCACTCATGTCAGGAATATTCCCTCTGGACATAGAATTATTGAATTTAAACAAACACTTATTGGGCACCTATAATTGGTCAAACTAACAAGCATTTAGGTTGATTTAGACGATTGCCTACACCTAATTAGCATTCCAATTTAACAAACTGTGCTAACTGGTCCCTGAAGGTTCATTAGTAACCGTTTCCTTTGCTTCACAAATGCTCACTTAAAATTTCATACTTAAGAAATGCATGAATTAAATCGCAACTTCACACTCAAGAACGGTTCCTCCCTCAAGTATAGAGAATTTGCATGCCCTGGTCAACT